AGCTATTAGAATATTTCATTAATTAATTGTAACAAAAATTAATATAACAATAAATTATAATTAAACAATTAAACTAATTTTTTTATATTAAACTATTTTTTTAGAACTTTTTTATTTAATATTATAGAATACAAAAGCTTATAATCAAATATTTCAATAAAACTACTTTATATTAAAGAGTATATTTAGCTATAAATATATTTTTAATGTCTAATTTAAATAGTTTGCTTATATATAAGTTCTATATTAGTTGATATATTTGTAATCTAACTATAAGTATTGCTTATTTAAGCTCTTTATATAACAATTTTTATTATATTACAAGAATATTTTAAATACTGATATTAGTTGAAAAGTTCTAAATACTTATTTATATCTTTATAATATCTATTATATTTTATATAATTTTTTTTTTTGAATATCTCTGTTGTACTTGCAACTAGAGACACAAGTGGCACTCTTTTATTTAAAGTATTATTTTATTTAGTTCCTGCAAGTTTACATACTGTATATTGTTATTATATATATTACTAGTAGTGTTTTCTAGTTACTCTATACTATGTGCTAACAAGTTTATTTATAATAATCTGAGTTTCTGATCTTATAATATAGAATCTTTAACTTTGAAGTCTGCAGTTTTCTATTAACATAATCTTACAAATTCTGTTTTTTTTTAATATACTTTTTTATGATTTTCTAATTTAAGAACCTCTGTGTTATTAATATTTCTTGTTGAATTATCTCTTTATCTAAGCATCATATGACTCTGTAGCTATGTTATATGACTTGTTTGTTGCTGTAGTACTTTTGTCTAAAAGTAGAAATAAGAAATCCTCTTAAGATTATAAATATTTGTAATTCTAATATAGTTTTCCTTTTAGTTAAAATTGAACTAGTAATCTATAAATGTGATCTAAGAGTGCTAACTACTGCATTACTTATCTACAGATTATAATTTATTTTTAAAACATTATTATTAAAACATTTTATATTTTATTTATAGTTAATTTAGATTTTAATTTTTATAAAGTTTATACAATCTTAGTATTTTACTTTTACAATTTTACTAATATTTTATCTATTTTTACAAGTTCTTTTATACTACTAATTTAGTTAGATTTGTATTATATAATTTTATACTAGGGATGTAGTAACCTAATGAGGTGAACAGGTTGTTAACTTCTAAGTGGCAGGTTTAGAGTTCAAATTCTATAGATAACAAATTTTAAAAAATATACTTGTGTTATAATAACTATCTTTGTTAATTAGTTAGATTAGTGTATTTGTAACCTTTAGTTGCACTATCTTGAATAAAAGCTTGAAGCATCTATGCAAAATATAATGTTATACCTACATATAGAAATGTTAATAACTAGTATTGCATAAGACTTTAGTGCAAACTTATAATAAGACCACCAGATATAGAAAGTAAAAAAACTGAAGAGTTAGAAACCTACTTGGAAATTCTAAGTAAGAAAATAGCACAAAACTTTTAATAATGCTGTCAAACTGATAGAAGCCTGTGAAATATCAAAAAGATAGATAGATAAACTGGATGACAATATATATAGAGAAGCATATAACCAACCAGGCTGCCAAAATCATTAAAAAAAAAGAATACTAAGGTATATTATATTAGGTAATTTGAATTAGAAGTTTGGAAAGTTCTGTCAGTCCTAAGTAGTGGTTAGTAAAAAATAATAGAGAAGACATCAGAAAAATAGATATTAGAATTTTGTATAAACCTTATAAAGGTATAGCAGTTTAATGATTAGCCCTAATTGTAAGTAATAGTTTAAGCCAAAGTGATACTAGATAAGCTGTAAGTATAGAATACAGAATGCACTGATAGATTTAGTACAAAGTTAAATATGATTTAGTAACTAAAGCATATCTTCACTGATTTACTAAAGTTATTGATAGAATGTAGTAGATATAGGATTAAAATGTTTAAATAGAGAACCTATAGATGGATTTTAGATATAATAACTAGTATAGAACTTTTAAACAGACTACTTAAATTAGACAATAACTAAAGTTATACAAGTGACTAGTTGTACACTCTTTCTATAATTGCTTCTATACTGTTATATTAACAGATGCTAATCAACTAATACTACCAATAAAATTCTAAATCATATGTACTTACTTTAATATTTAAAAAAAATTTTTATACTAAATTAACTAGTATTAAAGTCAAAATAGGTATCAAAGTTGCTCTAACCTAGTACTATTTTGACTTATGCTTTCTTACATTAAGAATGCTCTTTAAATAAGTCAACTATTGTGCATTAATTATATTTTGAAAAACTTGAAAACCAAGTCATCTAACTGAACCAATATCATAATGATACAAAATCAGAAACTATAGTTATTTGTTAGAGTAGATTTGCCAGATTAAGCTAGTTATTTGTATTGTAAAAAGCTATTCAAGATTCTAATTATAATAACAAATCTGAAACTGTTGAAAAATGTTTAATTATAGGTCCTGTGTTATTTTTTTTATAAATTATCATTTTTGTATATAAGTGCATCTTTTTAAAAGTTAAAGAAGAAAGTTAGCTAGTAAAATAGTAAATATTAATAATAGCTATAATAGTAATAAAAATTATCATAATAATAAACTAAACCTTGCATTTATATCTTAATCTTGTTAAATTATTTCATCTCTTTCATAGTGCAATATTTTATAATATTTGGTATTTTTGAGCAACAATCTGTTGCATTTTTCTTGATTCTATATTTCATGAACCTAAAACTTTTCTAATACTAGTAATCAAATTAGTAAATATTATATATAGAAATTTTTAATTATACAAGTTTTTTAACTTAAATTTTAATTTTTTAAATTAAAATCTTTACTAATAGTACTGTTATAAGTTAAGTTTGAGGTTTTAATTATAAGTTGCAAAACTTCAAACTATTATCAAAATTTTAAATTATTAAAATTTTAAACTATTATTAAAATTAAAAACTATTGTTAAAATTAAAAACTTTTTAAAATTCAAAATTAGAATAGAAATCTCAAACTAGTATTTAAATACAAATCAATATTAAAACTTCAAACTAAAATAATTTTTCTAAAATTCAAACTAATATCTAAATTTTAAATTAATACTAAAATTCTGAATCAATAAGTTAATATTAAAGTTTAATTTATATATATTTTTTTAAATATTAAAGTAAATACTTGTAACCCAAAATTTTATTAATAGTATATTTAACTAATGGTTGTATTACAACTACAAAGAGCAATTATAAAAAAAGTATACAACTAACTACTTGTACAACTTTAGTTATTGTCTAATTTAAGTAGTCTGTTCAAAGGTTTTATGCTAACTACTATACCTAAAACCTGTTTGTAGATTCTCTATTTAAACACTTTAGTTCATATATCTATATATCTATCTTTGCTTACTAATGACCCTAACCAATATTAGTAAAAATATACTAAGGTTACTAAGTCTTTAAAGAAGTTTACTTATATAAAAAACTTTTAACTTTATACTAAACCTTTCAGAATTTTCTGTGTTTTATTATTATAGCTAACCTAATATTATTATAATTAAGACCAATACTTACAGTCAGAGCATATTATTAAACTACTATGCTCTTATAGAGTTCACTTCAATTTTGATACTTATTTCACAACATATTTCTACTATTTTGATATTTAATTCAAGTTCTATTAGGCTCTTAGTTCAAATAACTCAGAAAGATAAATACAATTATATCTTTAATTTATATAATCTTCTAATATGTAATTTTTTTTTTCAGAATAAATTTTAATAACCTGAGTGGTTATAGTAACTCTTTTTCAAAGACTAACTTGCTTTTATCTGACTTCATAAGTTTTAACTTTGTTTTATAGATCTAAACTTTATAGTAATACTGTTAAAAGTTTAGACTATCTCTTTATTTGAGTTTTCTAAATAGGCTTCTGTTTTTTTGATTCCTATGATTTATATAACCATAAGAACTTATCATAAATTCACATCACTTGGTACCAGTTTGTGTTCCTTTATACAAGGTACAATTGTTGCATAAATACCATGTAACCTTCTAGTTATACTAATATAATACAGATAATAGGTATCTGATTTCAACCAATAGCAGAAGACAATTAACTATAATACAAAAAAAAATTTTTAAATTTTTACTAACAATAGGATTTGAACTCTAAATTTGCCACTTGGAAATTAACAACCTAACTACTTTACTAGGTTATCATATTCTCACTAAAGTTTAATATATATATTTTTTTTGGTATTAAAGTGAACTAAAGTTTAATATTAATATATATACTAATATATATATTATATAAATTAGCATATATAAGAAATTTGTTTCAGTTTAGAATTTAGAATTTGAAATTTAAATAAAAATTATTATATATAAAATTAACTAATACTATAATCTAAACTTAAAGGTTTAAAAAGTTTTGAGTTTCAATATCTATCTTTAATATTTACTTTTTGAATTTATTTATATAACATTGTACATTTTCAAAGTTAATCTTAGATTACAGAATCAAATTATAAATAAGTTGCTAAAATAAAAATTTTTCAAAATTCTGCCACCAGTAGAATTTAAACACTAAACTACTACTAGAATAATGACAATTTAATCACTTTGCTAGAATTGCTATTTTTGAAACAATTTTTTTTATAATTGTCATTACACAAATTAAAATTATTTTTTAATAATAATTTTTTATATGAAAATAATAAATCTTTAAAATCTAACTTTTTCTATAGTATTAATTATTTAAACTTAAAAAAAATATAAAATAGATTAAAAAAGTATGCTTTTTAATATGCTATAAGAATTTTTCTTTTCATATTCTAATTTTTATAGTATGTTGCAAATATTTATACATAAAAGAATTAATTTACAAATAACTCACATAATATCTTAAGTATTGAAAATTTGACACAAGCCTTTAAAATACTAATGAAATGCATTGTTTAGTTTATCTGTTACGTTAGTAATTAATTTTTATGCTTTATTTGCAAGAAACTAAGAAACAGTTTTTAGACAATAGTATTTTGGAGTATTCTACTGTTCGATTGCTTCCAAAAGGATCGAAACGAATGCGACGTGTTATCAATCTGAGTAAAGTGCCAAATAAGGTTAATATTTAAATAATTATTATTTGTTGAGGTACCCGGGTTACAAATCAAAAATCCTAGCTAACTTAATTTATAACCGGGTCCATGAGATCATATAATAGCTCGTTAAAAGTGGGTTTCATTATTTGCCTTGATACGTTCGCAATACTTTTTTTTTTTTACAGCACCTAGCCCATATTATTGACCATTACTCTAAAAAAAATTTTTTTTTCTGCATGTTATACCTTTAAGTGATTACTTTATCATCACACTACAACTTAATATGCATTTTTAAAAAATTACGCACATTC